GCTAGTACAATGCTTTTTGCAGGTGTTGGTCATGCTCTTTATGAATTTTACTATAAACTAGAATATCTTTTATGAAGACAACTACATACTTATCCAAAAGATTTCAAAATAGTCTGTTTTTGTGATTCATGAAGGAGGTTGGAGTATTAGTGAGGCCAAAAGATAAAACAAGCAATTCAAAATGTCTATATTGCGTATGGAATGCCATCTTTTTTATATCCTCCTTTGTAATAGGTGGCTGCTAATAGCCACTACAAAGGTCTAATTTGCAAAAGATGATTGCACCTCAAAGTTGATCAAGAAGATCATCCATACATAGAAGTGGATATACATTTTTGATAGTCTAGTTATTGAAGCCTTGATAATTAATCCAAAGCCAAAGTCCATCATCCTTTTTGGGTGCAAAGAATATAGGTGCTCCCTATAGTGACATGATTTTTCAAATAAGGCCCTTCTTTCAATGTCTTTTGTAGCTCTTTAAGTTCATTTGGTGTTAGGCAATAAATTGGCATACTTTTTAGTTTGGCTCTAGGTAATAATTCTATTTAAAAGTGGGTACCTTAATTAGGTGGCATACTACTAAGTAAGTAAATTAGAAAAATATCTTAATATTTATGAATGGATTGCATTGCATGTTCTACTCCTTTGGCTATTTTTTCCACAACTAAGGCCAAATTTTAAACCACCATATATACCAATTACTTATGTTGTATTTGTTCCTTCATAAAGATCATTCCTACAAGTAAGCTTTTAGCTGCAAATTATTTTGTTATATCATTCAATACAGAGGCATGAAGAATTATTTTGTATCCATTGTCTTTAAAAAAGATCTTTCTTACTAGCCAATCAACTTGCTTATTTTCCACTTCTAGCCATAGCATACTAAGTATAACGTCATATCTGAACTTTATTACTTTGAACTTCTCTCTCAAGGCATAAGTGTTATTCAACCTTAAGATTTCTTCTTCACATGTCTCACTTAATATGTTCTTTTGGTCATTAGCTAGATATATACTTCTTCTTTTGATTCCCTTGGTTTTAATCTCAAGTTGATCAGCAATCTCAATTGAAATACAATTTTTTGTAGAATCATAATTTATAAGCACTCAACATAATTGTCCTCTTACTCGATCCACTAGACACACCAATCAACCCTTTTGATAGTTATCGGAGGTCATGCCATTTGTCTTTGAGAGACAATAACATTTCCTAGTACAATCCCTTGGTGCTTTTATTAGGGAGTCTCATTTCCCTACTCTTCTTCTTTATCATCCTAGTCAACCTCAAGATTTTGAATCCACCTTGATTTATTGGTACTTGAATTTTGATGCTTTAGAAAATCTTTGATCTGATGGTATGGCTCACAACAATAATAACATAATCTCTTATGTGCCAATATTTGTTATTTCTGTAGTGTTAATGGTCCTTGCAAGGTGTCAATCTTCATTGGTGTTGGTTGTTGTACCATAATATTAGATAGTGGCATAGGATTTTGTCCTATAACTTATGCTCCACGGTTTTTGAAATCTATAGCATCAACCCTCTCTGCAATCCTAAGTACCTCCTCAAATATTTATAGATTCCTTAATTCCACCTCTTGCTGAACCGCACGTTTCAATCCTTGTAGAAATTGATCCATCATCTTTGCTTTTGAAAAATTACTTATTTAGAGACATAGAAACTTGAATCGAGAGACATAATCTTATACTAACTTGGATTGTATAAGGTTAATCAATTGATTGCATACTAACTTTTTTACATTGATGGGCCAAAATTGATTCCTAAGTTTGGTCTAAAATTCCTCCTAGTTACAAAATCCACCTTGAGCTCTATAATTTTGAGCTCAATGTTGCCACTAAATAGCTACAACACCTCTCATATAGCTAGTTGCATACATAATGCCTTGAATGATGCTTGTTATAAATAATTGGAGGTATTATTACACGTTGAAGAGCTACTAGTATACATCTTCTTGTCTCAAAATTCCAAAATATGTTTCGAGCTTGCTGAATTTCAACCTAGTAGATGTCAATTTCCTTATCTTAGAAGCTTCTATTTGTCCTTACAAAGTAGCTATCTAGTCTAAGAAGTGTTGTACGTGAGCCTCCATCCAAGATGGCTACGCCATATCTCCCATGCTATAATTTCCTTGCCAAACTTTGCTATTATAACGCCTTCTACCCTTCTAATATACTTCTTAAAAGTAACTTGTGGTAGCCCCAAAAGAATAACTAGTGTAACCACAATAACTAACCTGTAACTAGATAGTGGCTATTTAAATACTACTAAAGAATAGACTAATACTCCATCTAACACCAATGAAACAAAACTAAATTCTCTTAAAGATCTAAAATCCTTCTAGTCTATAGCAACATGAATTCCATTACAAAGTAGGACAAAATAGACTTGAACAAAATTAAACAAAATTAAACTAAATAGAATATGAAAGACAAAATAGAGCAACTAGAAATAGAACAAAATTGAACCAAAAATACAAACCAAATTTTACTGAGAGAAAGCGACCAAAGCCATATCTCATTGAATGTCTCAAATGGCCTTTATTAGTCCTATTTATACTTTGTTCAACCATCCTAGAACTTTTTAGAATGTTCCTATTGGTGGGATCCATCAAGATAATCACCTTTTTAGAAGATTTTAGTGGTGGATCTCACTTTGATAACAATACTCCTAGAAGGACTAAACGTAGGCTCCACCTAAATAACCACCCTTAATTCTTCTAGGATGTTCTATGGTGGGCTTCACATGGACCACCAACTTGGATCCATTTCTAAAAACTTCTTAAAAACGGCTCCAATTACCTATCTTTACAATTCAATAATACAATTATCTTATCTATGTTCCATTATAGCCATATTAATTACATAGAGAAGATATGGCAAGAGAAAAATGCATTTGAGTATATGACTCTTAAATACATTTATGTGAAACATTCAGTACTAATCACATCCATGGATGGTATTGGATTTGATAGGTTTGATTGTGTATATATATATATATATATATATATATATTTTTAATGAGATTCTTTTTTTATTCATGTCTATTCTAAAAACATCTTATGAGTTTTTTTTCTTATGTGTGTGTATATATATATGTATGTATATATGGACTCAAGCTACAAGCACACTCCAAATGGCTATACACCTATTTAAGACCTTTGATTGGCTAATCCATATCCCTTCTTTCTTGTCCTAGCCTAGGACTAATGAAGAAAAGAGTGAGATTTGCATTGAATAAAGAGTATGGAGAGGATGTTTGGGATTGGACACAAACAAAGAAAAAGAGATTTGGATGAGCTAATCAAAGGCCTTGAGTGTATGTATAGGTATAGTTGATGTAGGTAAAGCAATTTTGGATGTGTTTGTAGCCTAAGAAACATTCATATACAATATAATTGTATTTTTGTTTGAAAAAATAACTAAAACTTATGTCAAAATCACTTTAAAAAAAAACTCATGCCGTTTCACAATATGAAAAGGTAGAAGTTGTTGTGATTGATTGATTGGGTTCATTTTTTTGGAAAATTAAAAAACTGAAGTTGGTATGACTTACAGTCTAGAAATCAACACAGAGTTCAACCTGCTCCTGTGGGTACTGATTCCCAGGATTTACTGAAGCTGTAGATTTCAGTATGTAAATTTTTCAGCAGGAGAGGGGGATTATACAAGACGCTAAAACTGTTACAGTCTTTGACGCAAAAGACATAGGAAGTCAATTACAAAATGGTGTCTGATGAACTACATTTGCCGATTGAACAATAATTGAGTGGTAGCGATCGCCCTCACTGGTGGCGCCAAGGTGGAATGATTCCGTATGGAACACTATCAGGGAATGCAGGAGAGGAAGGCATTGCACAAGGGACAGCATCGACCAGCGTCGATCCTCCTCTCTTTGAAGAGGCTAGATCGAAAGAGGTCTGAACGCTAACTTCAGATCACCTTGCTTCGCCAGTTCATTAGGTCTGAATCCAGAATATCTGACATACACGCATCGTTTCAGGCAGAACTCGAAACCAGTCGTGGCGAGGAGGTTTCGAATCATTCAGGTGGCGATGATAATCCATGTTGCCGAAGCCATAACCTTCGTGGACGATGAATTCGCATGCCGAATCATGCAGTGCAGTGATCGGATTCCGTACCACCATGTCCAGCAACCTCCACAACAATGCATTAGGCCTGTAAGACATTATCTCTCAAGGTTGGATGGAAAATTCTTCACATCAGATCGGTTATCAGGCACTCAAGTTGTAGCACAGGTCACCGACGGTATCAGCTAGCTTCAGAAAACAGCGTTGAGGTGAAGGAAGGTCGAAGAGACTAAAGAATTGTGTATGTGATAAATTTTCGCAGATCGTGTTTACACGGAGCTGAATTCTTCGTGGAGTTGAAGCTGGGCTTAATCAAGTGGTTTCTATCAATGGTAGGTAAGTTTTGACCTATGTTTGCAGGGATGAACTAGAAAAACAAACATTAAAGAGGGAAATTATTTCTTGATTATTCATTCTATTTTTTTAATTCTAGTAATTATTCGAAAATAGGGAAAAAATTAAATGAAGATTTTTAGTAAATCTGAAATGCATTAAATGCTGAAAAATATAAATATACAAAAAAAAAAAACGTGTTTTCATCTTCCACCACTATATTCTACAAGTATCTTGCGAACTCATAACTCACCGTGATAGAAAAAACTTGCAGAGAGCCTTATCCAGCAACTCTGAACATCTCTGTCGCTCTCAACCTCTTTCCCGCAGCTCAGAGTATCAACCTGAGGAAACTCCTTGCATTTCAGAAGCGAAAATCAAATGCCATTTCAGATTTCATGAAATTAATGACAGAATGGCAGCTGCAATCAACCAGATGTTGCCATACTAGATGGGGAAAGTGCTCGCAAGCCATGGTTGCATGGTCGAGAAGAAGAAAAACTCACTTCAAACGAATACCAACGAATGACGCTGTAAGCATCATCCAACGGAGATCGCTTCATTCATTCTTTGTGCCATTGTGTGTCTTTGTCTCCCTTTCGATTCATTTGCAAATTTCGTCTACACAGAGGTCAGGCCTTGAGGAGCGGATTGCGTAAATTCGCAAGGTTTTTTGTTCAATCTTTTCTGATACAGGGCAAGCATTTATGGAGTAGCGTGAAAATTGGATTGAAGTTCGATCAGGGTTGTAGAGATCGACTTTTGATTTGGATTGGTGGAAGTAATCTGGTTGAGTGTGTAGCTGCGTGGCAGCTGGCCATGGCGAACCTTGTGCGGAGGATGGTGGGAGCGACGACCGGCAGGGGCGCGGTTGTGGCCACAGAGATTTTAACTCGGGGTCTTCTTTCGTGCAGAGTTCTCTCTACGTATGTGCTACGTTTTCATATTCTCGTCCTTGATTTCGCGAGGCGGTGAATTTTGGTCGTGTTTGTGAGAGTATCGAATTAGGGTTCCAGGAATTGTCATTTTGTTCGTTGAGATGGTGTGTGTACCGGTTGATCGCAATTAGTAATCATTGCCTTGGAGGATCTTATATTTGTTTTGGTATTATAGTGTCGTTCGTGATGCGGATTTCTGAATCCTCGTAATTTGCAGTCAAGTTTACTGAATTTTTGCACGCCTATTGAGCACATCGCGAGTCACAGGGTTAGTTTACAAGTAGTCTGCATGTTGGTCTCGAGTCATCTAGTTACGAGCTAGTTATTAATTTTGGATGTAGTATACGTTAATAGGATGTAATGAAAATGTAAGGACTATGATTTATGAGAGCCAGATTGTATACCCAGGACAATCAACTTCTGCCCGGGTCTAGGTGTAATTTTAGTTAATTTTAATGTATCATCTTCTAACCCTAAATATTTGATGTTGAAAATATTCCTCGGCTGAACTATCTACCTGCCGAATTTGCGGAGTCAAAGAACATTCTCCGACAATGTAGTGGAAATCAGATTTAGTGTTTTGAAGCCGGGAGGTTCTGTGAGAGAGGAGGTGTGACATGCGTGTAACGGGTCACAATGCGTTCAATTCGTGGCGTGTGCATGTCTGGATATTTCACATAAAATCTTTCCCTTAAATTTATTTTTCTTGAATCTTACACTTTTGACCTTCCATGTTATCTTCCATGTCGCTACTAGCTGACATGTGTATGGATCTTTTAATGTTCATACTTGTAAGTTTGTCCAACCATTTTGCAGAACCCTCAGAATTTACAGGTTTTATGTTATGAGAAGAAACTGGCTCATTTTATATCGTTTTTGATTTTCCATGTACTCCCCCTTACTTATGCGTGTTGTAATTGTTATCAATCTGGTGAGATGGATTGTAATGTTGCAAGTCCTTATGAACGAGTCAAGTCATTTGAACCTCAGACACCAGGGACAATATTCGTATCGTTGTTAGGTCTAGCGTTCATTGTTTGCTCTTGAATTTAAGTGTGTATCAAAGAGTCCCCGTCAGCCGAGTGCATTCTGTGATTGAGGATCAAAATGGCTACTCTTTATTATGTGTTTGATGTTATTGATAATTTGCTCGATGATCTGGGTGCAGCTCTGCAGAGACTACAGCCACATCAACCGAGGTTGACTTTTCCAGAGGAACGCCTTCTGCTTCTCCTGGTGAGTAAAAAAAAACTTGGTCAGCTTTGACTATTATGCTTCATATTCTTCGTACGCTAGTTCTACAGAAGTTCGTCATTACTATTCGCAGATTGTGGCCTTCTTCCGGTCAGCTAATTGAATTTTGTTATGAAAAGCATTATGGAATTGTTGTAATATAGATTTTGTGTGAATGTATTATCTGACAAGTTTATTTTTATTTTTATTGTCATTTCTCTATTTCCAATCTTTAGTGGAAATGTTCACTTTTATGTTCTCATCGATGACCACTTTGATGATCACTTTGATGACAGAGGAGCTTGGAATGGAGGCATTGACACCGGTGAGAATTGTAGAGATGCTGGATCGTTACATAGTAGGACAGCAGGACGCTAAACGGGCAGTCGCGGTGGCACTCCGTATGCTTGTCTGACCTGCTTCAAAAACTGGTGGGCTGATGGCTGTATAGTATGTCTATGTCAGCACCGAGATGACTTCTAGCTACACTTTTCTGGGTTTCAAATCTAGACTTACAGTTCATATGTTTTGACTTATTCAAAACATACTGTTACGTTAAGTAGCCTAACATTGGCATAAGGGATATTAGATACTAAAACTGGTCTAGCTTTGGTTTAGTCAATTGTAGCTGAACTATTTATGTCGGTCTGAAGTGCGCTGAAGAGTTCTTATTTGTGCGGCACTGAGGTTATATAGTACGTGGTCACTAATTCTCTTTCCATGTAAGTTATTTTAAATTTTCTTTGCTTGTTTACCTTGTACTTTTGAGCAAAGAAGTAAACTGGGGATTCTTCTTATTAATAGGAAATAGATGGCGACGACATCGCATTCCAGACGCGTTAAGAGATGAGATAGTACCAAAGAACATTCTCATGATCGGTCCAACAGGTTGCGGGAAGACAGAGATTGCTAGACGGCTTGCAAAGATAGCATATGCACCGTTTGTGAAGGTATCCTTGTCAGTTGATTCCGATTTTGTTAACATTCAGATGAAAGATATGCAATTTTGTAAATAAATTTACCTGTGTGTCATTTTTCAGTTCCTACATTTATCATTCCAACATAGTGATGCTTTGCTCCACAATATGCTAAAAGCTTGGCTAATAAGATGACCTGGTACGAAAGTTGAGTTTTTGCATAGATGTGTTATTCAGTTACTCTTGTAGATCTAGTTCGCAGGGCACTGATGCAAAACAAGTTTAATGCTAACTGTTTTTGCGGTCATGTCCTTTACGACTTTGATTCATCGTGTTAAGTGTAAGGTGTTTGCTTTTAGCTGGTGTAATGAGTAAATATGAGTTGCACTCCCTTACATTGAAACAGGTCGAAGCGACGAAATTCACAGAAGTTGGGTTTCATGGTCGAGACGTCGACCAAATTATACGAGATTTAGTTGACAATGCCATTGCCTTGCAACGACAGAAGGCATGTGTTCTTAGTAGCCATCAATGTCAACATGAACATGAATTGTCTTGCATTGAGTTTTCCTGGATATTATTTTTCTGTTAAAATTGGCACTTGAGTATTTATGATGACTATTCAGATGACTTGCAAATTGTTAAGCATAGCTATTAATTTTTGTTACTTCTTACGTTTTGTGTTGTTCTGAATTAGACTTACACCGATCTATTTCAAATTTCTATCCGCTGATTTAGGTTCGTGCAAAGTTGGTCAAGGAAGTGGAAAAGGCCGTTGAAGCCCGCCTGCTGGACATTTTCATGGCTCGGCAACGGCCCCCTGTGGAGGTCAGTCTGTTTGAAACTTGAGCACTGCCCCTCGTGTTGAGGTCAGAAACGTTTACAGTGCTAGATGAGGCCGTAAATATCTCTGATCAGAATCACGAATTTATGTTGCAAATCTCAAACCTTGTCATTGATTTTTTTTAAAACAATTTCAAATAAATATTTAAAGATATGCTTTTGATTATTATTTTTTGGTAATGTTATGTGGAAATGATGTGTTAAACTGTGTTGGAGTGTGTTTGTCTGTTGCTAATATCATTCGCTCCTTGCGAAATTGGTTCGATCAGAAAGTCTTACTATTTGACTAGCCATGTCTTAATCGCTTATGAAGTTAGATGTGTTAGATGTACGTGAAGACTCCAAGGTTTTGGGTCTTTTGTGGTGACAGGGCGAATCTGCAGTACCGGGAGCTCGTGCTGACTATGAAACATTCAGGAAGCTTTATAGGGATGGCGCATTAGACAATCGCAAAATACAGCTTGATATACCTGACGGAAGATCTCGGCTTCCTTTGGAGATAGGAGGTGTTAGTGGGTTTGGTGTAAATGAGTTGATTTTCCGGGTATATGTCTGCCCTAAGTATACATTAATAGTCTGCTTGTTTGAATTCATGTGTGGCTGTCAACTCTACGAAGTGTTAGGTATGAATTAAATTGCATTGACAACTTTGACCTTTTCACGTTGTTGTACTTCATGCAGTCCTCGTAGTGCTCTAGTGTCCACGTCAGTGTCTTTCAGGAATATCAAATCTTAATGATGAAGCGGATAACTTGATTTTTCTATCTATAGTCCTCGATAATGAGTCCAAATTGTTTTGTATATGTCTATCCTGTTCTGATTGGTTAGACATGGGAACTAGTTGCCTCAGATGGAGAAAGTTTTCAAGTCGCAGAGGATGGAGAGGATGGAAATTACTATTGGAGAGGCAAAACCAATCTTGCGAGAGATTGAAATGGAGAAACATCTCAATTCAGATCAAATCACGAAGGATGCTATACTGGTATTTACATCTGCCATCAGGATTTTGCTTCTTCTTCCTCTTCTTTTTTTCCCCTCTTGCTCTCAATTTTGTCTTGTGTGTTCTCCTTACACACTCTAGATGTTTCCTTGGCAAGCATGAGTTGGCTGAAGCATGAAGCCAGCAGAAAATAAGTTATGAAGTTGCTGACGTCTATCATGGGAAATGGGATTCTATTGTGGAACAGCTTGCAGAATCGGATGGTATTGTCTTTATTGATGAGATTGACAAGATTGTTACCAACCACGAGACTAGACATGGAGCAGATGCAAGCTCCGAAGGGGTTCAGCGCGACTTGCTGCCAATCATTGAGGGCAGGTAACAATGCAAATAGTTGCATGCTGGCTGCAATTCTTGTGCTTCTAGTACAGAGTATTATTGCCAGATGTGTTCCACCATACAATTACAGCAGGCTTTTCTACTGTATCTTTTTAACAATTATACTCAATAAATCGTTAAGATGTGTACGTGGGATGCCGTGAAAACGTTTTTTTGACAAAGAATTTCCACTACTATATTTATGATACAGCGGATCCTTTTACCTATGCTTAGAAATCGTTTAGCCTACACTTGACGATTGTTTTGGTAAATGTGCAGTATGGTGAATACAAAGTATGGCAACGTGAACACAGATCATATTCTTTTCATTTGTAGTGGTGCATTTCATTCATGTAAACCAAGCGACATGCTTGCCGAGTTGCAAGGGCGATTACCCATTCGGGTGGAGCTAAAAGGCTTGGGAAGAGAGGTGCTTGCATCTCCTTTTTATTTCTCAATTTGTATTGGTTTGAGTAGCAATTATTATATGCTCTTGGTGATTTTCTCATCCCAGTTATAATGCAGACAGTTGACTTTTCTCTTTTAGGATTAGTTAATTTGTTATATCTTGGTTTAAGAGATAATCTCATTGTTGGTGGGATGGGTACCCTGCCTGTTCCTCAGTAGATTTCTGTTACACCCGATGCCAGGAACTTATTCAATGCATATTACTTAATTTTATGCCTTTTCTCACTGTTCGGTTCTGCAGGATTTGTATCGGATATTGACCGAGCCCGAGACAAACATGATTCGGCAGCAGCAACTATTGATGAAGACAGAGGACATTAATCTGGTATTTACGGACGACGCTATTGAAGAACTTGCAACAGTGGCTGCTGAGGTACACCACTTCAATAATTCTCAGATAACGCTGTAAATTCGTTGTGCGCTTTCAAACGTCCATCACACTTAGGAAGGTCTGCTCTCAGTTTCACCTGATATCCAACAGTGTTTGGAAGGGAAGTTTGCAGGTACTTAGTTTGTGGGTTCTCTGTCAAAAGGTTTGGTATTTATTGCTTGTGAGTTCAAATTACTGTACAAAACTAGCAGTCAAGTAAAGAATTGTCACTGTTGCAATGGCCACTGACTAACGATCTTTCTTGATTCATTAAATATTAATTTAGCTTCTGGTGCTTTTCGGAAGTGAAGTCACCTGTAAAAGAGTAAGATGGCCACAATTTTGTTGCGTACATGATCACTTTCATCTCAGTCTCATGTTGAAGGCTACAGGTGTAAATTATCTTTGGGCTCAAATCGTTGTGCAATAGAATCGCTTGTCAGGATTACCATCAGTTATCCAGTTACTGATGTCACTGAGATGCTTGCCATTTGACATATTTGCAAACATTTAAAGCTATTTTTGTCATTGCAGGTCAATCGATCAGTTGATAATATAGGTGCTAGAAGGCTACATACGGTTTGTTTCACCACTTCGATTATGCTATTGCGTGCTTCTGTAAACCACATATTTTTGTTTTTAGATACAAAACTTTCAGCAATCAATGTAATCTTCGTTCTTATTTTGTGCACTTATACAAACTAGATGAAGGGAATCTCTCTTTATCTCTTCGACAAGGGCTTAGAAGTTTTCTTACCGACATTTTCAGGTTATTGAGCGGGTTGTGGAGGATATAAGCTTTCATGCTCCAGAGAGGGCTGGCGAAACATATACAATTGATAAAGAGGTTCATCTTCTCCCCCTCTTCCACAATGAAGAGCATTTTTATGGTTTTTCACTGGGAGTTGACGTATGCTCTAGTGAGATAACGTTCGTTTGTGTGGCAATTTGCAGAGTGTGCAGCGGGCAGTTGGAGACCTTTTGAAAAAGTCTGACCTGTCAAGATTTGTGCTCTAAATCTCATATGATACATAACTGTAGGACCCTACGCATTCCTGTCATCTGCAAGCAGAGTGCTTGAAAATTGGACTTCTACGCTTTAATTTACATGGAGGCATTACCCGAACAAGTCCTTGAGTATCTAAGATCATCAAGAACCACTGATGTCTTTCGTTATAGTGATTCCTTGGTCTATGCAGATTTATAGTTGAGTTCACAGCTTGTTTCTTGGCAGTTGAGAAGAAGACGAAATTGATGCAATTCTAGTTTCTATATTTTTGCCCCCGCTGTTGCTTCGTGATGCTCAGTGTTTCCCACCGGAATATTGTGGGGAAGTTGTCTTCTTTCTGATTGTGGACTTCCGAGACTGAGGTTGCGATTGGTGTCTCTGTCAATATGAAATGAATGTAGTCTGGATGCACAGAATTGGCGGTGGGACCTTTTTATTTTGGTGTCTATCGTGAATAAATTCATTCCATGATAATTGATTTACATTACTGTTTTTATAAATTCGTTCTTCAACCAATCGTTGTGCTTCATTGCTAGTCACTTAATGTCAATAAAGCTAGAAATGAAGTTGTGATTTACTCATTCCAAATTTAATTTGAACAGTTTATTTTTTAGTTTGTATGTTTTGATGTATAAAAAGGGATAGCCAATTTGTTGTCAGTGAATTTGAGTCCAGTAACATTTTGCAGTTACAGAGCGGCCTTAATCAACCGATCGATCTCAATGGATGGGGAGGGAAGGACTAGCGGGGAGGCATAATTAAGAGTCACTGGCCAGTACAGTACAATCAGCTTTGGTAACAATTCTTTGAGAAGAGTGCCTAATGGTGTGCAAAATTGAAGTTTAGGGTCGCTTGTTGTGGCATGTGGTGAATGGCAAGTTGTGGTGGCAAATAGCACTACCCTATTTTTATTGTTCAACTAAGCTCATACATTTTACACATTGACTTGATTAAATATAAATAATTTGATACGGTAGATTTACTAGTATTTTGATTTTATTGTCTATTTGACCAACCAGCTGTTTACAAATATGACCTCAGAGTAATCACAGTTTCCATCGACGAGAGTTTTCGTTTTTATTTATATATGTATATAATTTCTCCAACTTGATTGATTTTAGCTCATTCTCATGACATCGACATTGTAGCTCATGTCAATGCCGTGAATCGTGACGTTATACTGAACCTTGAGGTTGCCATTTGCAGAGTCTGATACATTCGTGGGATAAGTCCACACTCCACGCTTCAGATTTGCGTTTATACTTCCACCCACCGTCACCATGCCATCCAGTCTCAACTAGGTTCTGATGATTGTCCAGTTAGAAAGAAATAGAACTTATTCAGTCAATTTGTGGAGATTTATTCTCCAAGATTATCCGACTTTCGCAGGGCATACTATGTGTCGCTTGCCGGCGCATAAAGCACAAGGTTATGGGTGGAAAGCCCAAATAACTGCCATGACCTGAACAGGAGCTAACTTCTCGTCATGGATGTTCTCGTTTTGGTCCGGCCTGCGGAAGATAGCCCCAGAGATCTGATTAGTATTAATAGAGCTTCTGCTGTTGCGGTGAGCGCAACCCTGCACTCACAGTCTTTCGGAAACTGGGTTCCCCCCGAAGCATTAAGGCTGGCTCAGTGACGTGAACGAGATCGTTTCCTCGTGTCCATTCGGATTCAAACCTCTTGGTTTTAGTCCCAAAACCCCTAGTTTTAGTCCTAGTTCTGTCGTAGAGCCATCGTTGTTTTGTTTTTTGTTATTTGTTTTGTTTTGTTTCCTATGTTGGATTTGTCATCGTGAAATGCAAAAGCTCACTTGCAGATCACCACAGTTCCAATTCGGCACTGTCATGATATCTAGATCCGACATTATGGCGGCATACTGACAGTTCCGTGATCCATGCTGGCCTACACAATGCCCACAATTGCAACAATTGAACAACAGTTGAAGTAAGAAAAGCTACTGTACAGTGGGGTACAGAAATAATTCGAATTTTTTTCTAGAGCACCACTTTTGCTGAAAAAATCTTGTTGTTCAATTGAATGCTATGATCATGTTGGAAGGAATCTTTCCCCGACACTTAGCCATCTATTTTTGGAGTGCAAGAGGTGTCTAATTACATGTAATTAGCCATGTGTCTTCAAAAGCAGATTGCAAATGTGATGATTAATGTGGAAGTGGTTAGGTGAGCTAAAAAATCACAGTTACAATTAGGCATGCATGCAGCCAGCAAAATGGAGTGATAGCATAGAATGCTTGGATGGGGTGACTTATATAATCCATCTGAAGATGTGAAGCACATTGCACTGCCACAGATTGAGATTGTGAAGCACATACAGATTTTAGAAGTGTTCTTTTTTGGTTTTGGACATCGTTAGCTTCAGTGACTCCTCTCTGTTAAACTAGAAGTTGGTTTGTGTTGTTTGAAGGCTTATAGCAAGCACCATGAAGTACAGAACATTGTCCCCTATGCAGAAGAACCAGATTGTGGAGATGAGGAAGGCTGGGATGAAGTGTAAGGACATTGCAGAAGTCTTCAGTGCTCCCTATTCCACCATTTCAACTATCTTGAGTCATTGGAAGGTCCATGGAAGTGTGGAGTCGTTGAAATCACAATGTGGCAGACCCAGGAAGTTGTCTGAGCGGGATTTTTGGGTGTTATGTCGTGCTGTCAGTTCAAATAGAAGGCATACTCTGGTAGAACTTGCAAACTTGGTGAGTGTTTCCCAAACTACTGTTCGACTCTACCTCCGTGAGCTTGGTTTTAGAAATTGTATAGCACCTAAAAAGCCCTATTTGAATGTCAAACATAAAGCAGATAGGCTTGCATTTGCACGTGTTTATGAGAGTTGGACGTTTGAAGATTGGTGTAATATTATTTGGACGGATGAGTCATCATTTGAAACTGGCAAAAATCCACGGCAAATTAGAGTGTGGCGGAAGGCATACAAAAAATATAATTGGGATTGTATAGCACCAAGTTTTAAGTCTGGACGTAGTTCAGTGATGGTTTGGGGTGCCTTTACTGGCTTTGATAAGTCTCCATTAGTCACCATTCCTTCAAATAAGAGTTCATCAAGTGATTTTGTCACTATTGTTTATGAAGGAGTATTAATTGGCTTTTATTTCTTACATGATGACCCTGAGCAATTGATATTGATGGAGGATGGTGCTCCAGTCCACCGTAACTCATTGCCAGTGCAATGGAGACGTGCTCATGGTATAGAAAAGTTGTTTTGGCCTGCCAATTCACCGGACTTGAATCCAATAGAGAACGTTTGGATGGTTGTAAAAGATTTGTTCAAACATCATAGTAGACTTAATAGTAAGCTAGAAATGATAGAAAAAATTCAATCTGTATGGGATACCATATCTATAGAGTGGCTTCGTACATTGATTTTCACTATGCCTTATAGGATGCAAGCGGTGATTGCAGCTGGGGGTGGTAGTACGAGATGGTAGATAGTATGTAACAAAAAGCTCTCTTGATGTATATTTTCACAATTTTATAATGAAAAATTGTTACACCATGAAACTAGATTCTACTATCTTGGCAATGCACTTTACGGCTCAAAAATGCGTTCATTTTTGAAACTGCTGGAGCTTTTTGAAGTTCAGTGATTTCTAACACTAATTCACTTTGGAAAAAAATTCGAATTATTTCTGTACCCCACTGTACTAGGACTGGTATTCCTCATTTTGTATTGGTTAGCACCATCTTTGCATACTTGAAATCTGGGTATCCCCTCCCATCAAGAGAAAAGTGCGCATCCGCCATTAAAATAGACTCCAATTTCAATGTGTTCGGAGAATGTTATGTAAGTGAAGGATCAGTTTTGTTTCTTTTTTGTCTTTGTTCGATTGTTCGTTTTTTATTTTGGATGCATGCATGCATGAATGCGATTCCAACGGGATGAATCACATGATCACATGTCGGATTCAAAGTTAATATTTTGTGGTGTTTGACTACATGAGTGAGGATTTGATGTGATTTTGTTTCAAATATTCTTGCTACCAGAGTGGAATCCATGTACTTTCTAGATTTTGTCAATTCTAATCTGTACAATTTCCCAAATATAACTTAGATTTTTTTTATTTTTGCCTTTATATGGAGACAAAGAAATAGTTGAATTTTCAAATTAGTTATTTGTTTGGTTTAGGATAAGATGTGACTTAAGTAAAATTATTGATTATAAAAATTCATTGATACAACAAAATGATCTATATATAGTAAATAACATAAGAATTTTTTTCAAAATATTTTGATATGTTTTGATTGTATATCACTTTCTTGGTACCTTTTAATTAGTTCATTTTTTGAGATAATTATCTATATATAATATTTTAAATCTAAAAAATATTAAAATAGTAAAAACATATAATTATAATATTTATTAAAATTATGAAATTAAAAAATTAATTTTTTGATATCTTATATTTTTATAATTTATTTTTACTAATCTAATTGTAAATATATTAAAATAAATATATCTTAATAAAAAATAATAATTTTATGTCCATTTCTATTATCAAAGTGTGTTATTATAGACTTATTAATATGAGTAAAGCTAAAAAGAGTTAAATAGAAGTAAATAGAAATAAGTAAATTTGATAATATCTTGTAAACAAGTTTTTAGAAGCTTTATAAATGTAGATTTGAATTTCTACATGTTTATAGGTGATAGGTAGGTTGAAAATTTGGCCAACAAGTTGACCATGTATTGCATATATTAACATGATTTTGTAATCTTAACTTCATTGCTTTGTAGCACATCAATTGTGTGACATAAGACTAAGCTCGCCTTAAAGCTCTCTACTTGTTTAAGTAGATGCTACCTTGATCCAATTGCTTATTATTATATAATATTATTAGTATTTGTAGTAGAAAGAAGTAATTTTAAATTCTTAGATTTAATAATTATAATTTAAAAAAATATTTAAGGTCTACAAATATTCTTTGTAAAGTTAAAAACATAAAAATAAAAAATAAAAATAAATACACATTATGTAATAATCATGATTTTTATACTTATTCATAAAAGAAGAACAATATTTTATCTTAAATTTATTTTGATTCAAATGATTTGAAGATTTCAATGATATTTTATTTTAATTTATTTAAAATTTGAATTTATTAAATCATTGAATCTATTATTAAAGAAAATTAAGAATAAAATAATTAGTCAAATAAATAAAGTATTGAATATAAAATAAAAAAAAAAAGCCTAAAACATTGTAGTACAAGAATAAATATTTTGAAGGGTTGCATTTCACTAT